TCATGGAGAGCTATAGAAGCCTGTTTTGCCCCTTGTACTACCTACAGATACTCACGCTGAAAATCAAGACGAAGAAATTATGAGCTGCCTGCATGCTCTCGCCACATGAAATAGTCATTCACCAGGAAGAACCTAGGACTGACTCTACCAGCGTAGGGTCTGACAATGGATCCAAGGAGTACAGCCGGTACCTGATGGAAGTCAGGGTGCCATTAAGTAGCCTGCAGAGGTCTGTGCATGTGTGGCCCTTCATGGCTGTGCCTCCCCAGAACATTATGCTGAATGAAGTTACAGGCAGCAGAACATTCTCCATACCATTGCACATTTGCAACATGTGCTCAGGGTGTACCTGCAAAAAGCACAGGGTGCCCATGGTGGGCCTGCCAATTCCTGTATTCTATGGCAAATGCCAGTAAGCCTCCATTGTGCCAGACAGTGTTCACAGAGCCCACTAGAGGACGCTGAACCCTCAGGTTTTCCTCAGGAACTTTTGGTTGGAGACATTCACACCAGTTGGAGGTTATTTTGTAGGGCTCTGTTCCTCGTTGCACAAAGGAGCAGATACTTCTGCTACAGGACTGCACCTGTACAGTTACCTGTCCAGAGTTACTGCCTGTCTCCTGAAATCTCCTCCAGGCCCTTGAGGCCGTGCTGGTAGCACAATGTCAATATTGATGTGCTATCCTGGAGGTTTTGGACTACCTGCACATCCTTTCTAGAGTCCAGGTTTAGGGGGTGACTATAGCTCAAGAGGTAGGTCGTCTATTAATTGGAAGGTTGATGTTTTTATCTCTGAATGCCAAATATCCTTGGGCAAGATACTAGCTCCATGTTGCTCTCCAAGAAAGAGCAACATGGAGCTCAAGAAAGTGCTTGTATGAAAGGGCGAATGAGGCATAAAGTGCCCTACTTTTCAGGTAAAGTAGAAAAACACTATACAAGAATTAGTCCATCAGTCCAAGTATCGCCTTACGCTACCAAAGTGACCGTAGCCAAATGCAAAACTAGTAAAAAAAAAAAAAAAAGCAATCTCGAGGAGGTCAGTGGACCACCTGTGAAACTTGTTTTGGGGGTTGGTCTCGTTGCGGTGACTGCTCCTGTAGTTTCTTACGTTTCAGGTTTTTCCTTTATAGTTTCTTCATAGTTGTGACTAATATATTGAATACTTGTATTGATAAACTATGTATTGATAGATTGTGTACCGGGCAGCATCAGTGCAGAGACGCCAGCAGGAACAACAAACTGAATCACAAAGTTGGAACCATCAGAGTCAGTGAGTACCAGGAGGTCACTGAACAAGCTACAAACTGCTCTCCATCAGGGACAGCTGATGAGACGCTCCACACTACCGAGGCTACAGAGCTCAGACTGGTTCAACCTGCTTCAGGTGATCATTCCTGTCTCTATAAAACTGAATAATAGCTTCACTCTGTGGCAGATAAAAGATGAATGTGACAAATATGATTCCACCCACCTGTTTTTTTTAAATTTATAGTGCACGTGTTATTTATTAACACAAAGTCTAACACTCTTACACAATGTTTTACTTTGACAGTTTTTTAACTTAAAATTTACTTTGTTCTTTCACTGGTGTGTATATATGTTGTTTACTGTAGGCTCCATCCATCCATGCGTTGTCTCATCTGTTTCTGAGTTTCTTCATGTTTGTATTTGAGATCTTTAAGCCTTCTTCACTTTGTCAGCAGCTCTGGCAGTAATCAGACCAGGGTTAGTGAAGCTGAACTCAGCTTTCCCAGAAATGTGGCCAATCACAGTTAATTCATTATTAACAAGGAGGGTCGGGACGGTCCCTTCAATTAAAATATTATAGAAAGATTACATTTTTTGTAATTAATTAGGTTATCTTTATATAATTTTAACATTTGTTTGATGACTTGAAATATTTAAGTGTCATGAATATGCAAAGAATTCCAAAGTCAGGCCTCTGGGAAAATACTTTTTCACAGCACTGTGTCTTCCCTGGCTTCACACTCACCTTTTGTCATTCCTTAGTTCAGACAGGAAGTTTATTTTCCCACCTTATGACATTTATTTCTTAAAAAGCGTTCTTCTTTCCGCCTTGTATCTCAGATCACCACCCACTCCTTCTCAGCTATGCAGGACTGTGGTTACTGTTACTAAAACTTTTCTGAAATGGATCTGACCTCGCCTAATGTGACATTTAGCAAATAAACTCAACGTAATCAAACTGTTACTCAGTATGACATTAGCTTGTAAGTTATTTTGTTGTTTAGCCATCTCTTGTCAGCTGACAATAACAACTTGCGACAATATCGAGATTAAATGAATCATGTTCAGGTAGGTCTTGTTCTGTTACACCCCTAACTGCAGTTCAGGAGTGAGGCTTAATGTGACGAGGAAAAGGATGAGAGGGATGAGAAGGGGAGTAGTGGTGAAGGAGGTGAAGAAGATGAGAAAGAAAGAGAAAATGAAAATACATGTAACAGTTTAAATGGTCAGATATTGTTTGTAACTACAAAGTACTACGAGTATCAGGGCCACACGAAGAAAAACAGATATCACCGAGCATTCTGAGAATAAAGCACCAGATTAAAGTCGTAATTCTATTTCGAGAAAAACGTCAAAATGTGGACATTACAGCTGCTCCCTCCCCCGACCCCTCCCCACCCACCTACACCACACCGCCCACAAAGCCAGTGGCGAGGGATCTACATGTCCAAGGACCGTCTGAGCTTGAGCTGTAATTGCTTTAGTTCTATTGTGGGAATCAATGACCTTTGGAAAAAGAACAACTCCCCTCTGACTCTGTTTTTTCTCTTCTTCCTTCTTGCACACAATCTAACAAGGAGTAAATTGCTTTGACAGTTTGAAAGTGTTGCAGGGGAGAAAGAAAAGCACTGAAGGGCTTTTTATGACCACAGCTGGAAAAGTGACGCATA